TATTGTAGAGATGAGGTCTCACCAAGTTGCCCAGGCGGGTCTCAAACCCGCGGGCTCAGGCAATCCACTCACCTCAGCCTGCCAAAGGCGTGGGATTACAGGCTGAGCCACTGAGCCCGGCTAAGATTTATTTCTGCACACTACAGATACTAACAAAAAAGCAGATGAACACCAGCGGCTCAAAGAATGGCCTTTCCATGGAAGCAGATGACTAACTTCCCACCGTCCGACTTGTTCTAGTGGTTACTCTTGTAATTCCTACAACATGGCCGATGACGATGGAAGTTTTGGACAAGACGACGACTCCAGCCTGAAATCATCTGCCGAAAGCAACCTTGTGGTTCTAATACCCATGTGCCTCCTGGCCACACCCCACAGGCACGGCCCCCATAGTAACAAGCGGAGGAAAGAGGGAGCCAACGTCTGCTCCAGGGGTTGATGCTGTCCTTTTCAGGATGAAAAAACCTTTTGTAAATGTTATCCCGGATATCACTCTTCAAAAGGAAAAGAGGGAGGACCAGAGAAAGGAAGCAGACAAAGAAGCTGGAGACACAGCACGTGTCGGTGGCCGCTCTTCCTGGAGTGAGCTAGGGATGCCCTCGGCTAAAACCCGCAACTGCTTCTGCAGTCAAGACCAGCAAGGGCGCTTCCAACAGGAACGCCACATCCTCATTCCCAAGGACCCCGCCCAGACTGCATGGGCACAGAGGCCCTGCCACAGCCCCCTGCCCCGTCTGAGGATGGGGTGGGCACTGCCAGCTGACCTCACCCTCGAGGAAGGCCTGAGGACAGAGTAGCCTGGGACCTGGCACGACTTCCAGGATGAGGCCAGAGCCGGGCCGTGGGTGGCGGCGGGTGGCCGGCACCTACTCTCTGGCACTGGGGTGCACCACGGTCTCTTCCTGTAACTGTTCCAAGGTCCCCACTCAGCTCCATGCCTGCAGGTCGCAGGGGCCAAGCTACCCATGGTGTTCCCTGCTGGTGGAGTGCGTGGGGCACTCGTAGGACACGGGGCAGGGAAGGGCCGGCAGAGTGGCGGGACCCCGTGGGAGACTGCACGTCAGCGCAACTCGGGCCGGGAAAGCAGCACCGAGTGGGCTGTCTGTGTCCGAGGCCACCTGGACCACCCCAGCATACCAGGCCTGGGCGAGAGACGGGCGCCCACCTTTGCCCGAGAGCCGCCGAGGCTGGGAGCCGATGCAGATGCTGCGACTGTCCTCGTCATCCTCGGGGGGCCGGCTCAGGTCGTCCCAGGCACACTTGGCGCTGACGCCGCTCAGGTTGGAGCCATCTGTCTCGATGCCTTTGTCCACTCTCTCCTGCTTGAAAAGAACCGAAGAGCCAGAGTTCCTTCAGAGAACGCACAATCCCCTTGGCCCCCTCGCAGCCCGGTGTGCAGGGCAGCAGACGCTGGAGGGGCGGGTCTCGGCCCATTCTGGCTGGCCCCCTGTGCATGAAGATCTCTGCCAGCCCTGGGGTCCTCCGGGAAAAGCCAGGAGGAAAGGAAGTCCAAGAGAAGCTTCTCTCCATCCACTTCTGGAGCAGTGGCTTCCACACCCCCTTTGGAGCCCAGCTCTGCCCACCCCTGCAGGCCCATGGAGCCGAAACAGCCAAAACAGGACCCACTTCCCCAGAGACAGACCAACACCTCTCCCCACCCTCCAGGAAGAACCCCCAGCCACAGTCGCAGATGGTGGACAGCCGGCCCGAGTGGGAGGCCATGACTGCAGTTCCCCTCCACACCATCAGGGGGCATGGGCGAGCACGCACGGGCTGGACTTCCCGCCTGCAGGGCTCCCTGCCTGGGAAAGGGCTCTTCTGGAGGAGTTTCTTTTATTTGCTTTGCCTTTTTTGAGTCGGAGTCTCTCTGTCGCCCAGGCTGGAGACACAAGGGCACACTGCCAGCCACCGCAGCCTCGACCTGCTGGGCTCAGGCGATCCTTTGCCTCAGTCTTCCAAGTAGCTGGAACTACAGGCGCACGTCACCACGCCCAGCTAGCTTTTTTGATTTTTTATTGTAGAGATGAGGTCTCGCCAAGTTGCCCGGGCTGGTCTCAAACCCCTGGGCTCAGGAAAGCCTCTCACCTAGGCCTCCCAAAGTGCTGGGATTGCAGCATGAGCCACCGTGCCTGGCCCGGAGGAGTTTCTTTTAAACTGAAGTGAGGGCCTGGAGGGCTGTGACAAGACCCTGCCTCTGTGCAGGCCCTGGTACTGCTGAGACAAGACGGTCTCAAGGTAGCACTGTGCTCAGAACACCCCCGGACTTTCTGGTGAAGCGCTCGGTGTGCTGGGCTTTGAACGAAAGGCCATCTGGAACTCTGCCCACGTGGCCAGGCACCCAAAGCGTCGGCACCCACCTGCGAGGCCTCCGCCTGTCCGGCTGCTGCCAGCAGGGAGCCCCGGGATGCACAGGTGCTGTCCCCTCTCCACGGTCAGCGAGTGCCTGCCCCGACGTCCCTCCCACCAGGCTCACACCTCCCTCCGGTACCCCCTTGGCCTGGGCAAGGCTGGGGACCCTGCGGAGGGAGAGCTCCGGCTCTGGGCTCCCCCCGCAGGCTACCGCAAGGCCCAACTCGGTGCGGAGCTGGGACAGACTAACCCCCACCCCCTCAATGCATCCAGCCCCTGTAAGAAGCAGTTCAGACCTGGAGAAGCTAGGGGACCTGTCTGGGTATGTGGCTAGCTAGTGGGCAGAGCAGAATCCCAGGAGCATAAGCCAGCTCTGAGGTGGAATGACGCACACGGGCCCAGAAAGGCAAAGCCGAGACAGACCCTCGAAGAAAGGGAGCGGTCCTCTCTCCCCGGTGCCCTGCGTGTTGTGGAAGCCTGCTGGGCGCTCAGGGTCTTCGGGGTGGGAGCCTGCAGGCAGGAAGGAGCACTGTTCCCGGCACGATGCTTACTCTACCAGCTCAAAGGACCGGGCTTTTCTTAGTGCTTGTGACAAGGGCCAAACAGCCCACGCTCCCGGCTGGGTCCCAGGGTGGCTGCAGAACAAGGGAACCAGCCTCTGTGGGTCCTGGGTCTGCGTGAGCGGACACTACAAGGAAGCCAAGCTTCAAGCAGTCGCAGAGGCTCCTGGCAACAGCGTGACGTTCCAGTGTTCAAGGCACTAGGAACAGAGGTGCCTTGCCTGTGACATGGGCCCTGGGTCTGCAGGCAGCCCGGGTGGCCGCCGCGTGTCCTCCTGCCCCCCCAGTGCTCCGGCAGGCAGGGCTCCTGGCACTGCCTGAGACCTGCCCAGCTGCACAGAAACGCGGCCGGATCGGCGGGCGGCGGCTGCCAGT